AACTCGAATAAACTCACGGGAGAAGTAAAGCGCAAGAGGATTTATCATCGACCCCAGGCTATCAAAAACGTTCGCGAAAAACTGCTTAGGGAAGGCATTAATCACGCCCCAGATCAGAAGGCGATAGATGATGAAGTAGCAAGGCTGAGCTTGACACCGGCGCCGACTCTGGAACCGCCAGAACCGGACGGACTACCGGATCCAGCGATGTGGACGCATTTGTTGTCATTCAACACAACGTCACACCGCAACTTCTACAGGATATCGGCGTACAGATCCACCCCACAATTTCCTGACTGGCAACGTTGTTACGGTCAACGTGAGCTTGGCAACAATCAGCATTTCTACACCCAGGCATTTGCAGATCTGCCATTTTCTGGATTAGAGTCAAATATCCGCAAGTTTGCCCAGGAAGCTGAGTTGATCCGTCAGCAGAAAGTGGGTGCTCTGAGCTAGAAGCTATGCTCAAGTAATGTAATGTTTTATTTTTTATTCGCACATAGTCTGGTAAGCATCATTGGAGATGGATGAAATCTTGGTATTCAGTAAATACCGAGATTTAGCCGTGATGATCCAGGAATGTTAGGAGGTGAATACTATGGTGATTACTACCTACCCTGTATTCTCCTATTCACATCGTAGATCATCAGCCACCTTGAACACGCGATCCGAGCCCAGTAAGCTGCGGTTCAGTTTCCGAATTTCCTATGCCAAACCAATTCACACGTGTACGCCTTGGTATTCACTTGTATCCACTTGCTGCAGAGTCTGCCCGCATTTACTAGGATAAGTCGGACGAATGGGCAACATAGGTTCGTACACTGAAAGGACCAAACCGCCATAGTTCCCAAATGTTATATATTTGCATCCCAGAGACATCCCCGAACTGTAATACAAACTTCTCCCGGTTTCCCGTTAATCTTAAAGCTATAGTCAATTTCTCATTTACGCGTTCTTCTCCTTTTCCTTCTCGCGCTGCCACTGCTGCCGCTGTTTCGGCGGCGATGAATATGACCTCGTTGCTTAGTGGTTTCTTCATTCCAGCGCTTAGCACGAGTCAGAATAAGCAGATATGCCGGTATCGACATCATAACAATTGCTCCAGAAATCACTGGGGTGGCAGCAGCAACATTTTCAGCAACAATTGACAGCGTTGAAGCTGTAATAATCTCGTTGCCTCCAGCTTCGTCTTCTTCGTAATTTGCTTGCAGGTCGCACATTTGACGCCACTCGCGCGACTGTTTGAATTCATCGTAACTGGTACCAGTACTATCATCTTCATCAGGTGGGAACACCGCTATCGCATCAGTAAGTCGTCCAACAAAGGCCTGAGGCGTGAACTCCTCAATCGTTCCTTCGGAGCGAGTCCAATGTTGCATCAAAAACTCGCGCCACTTGCTGGATGCTCTTGATCCATTCTCTCCACCATCCAAAGGAGAATTGTTAGCTGCGATCTTATACAGGAATAGGAAGATTGAGTTGGTACAGTCGAAAACGCGACTGGCTTTGCTCTCGTCATAGTGCTGGAACTGGGCGCGCTTGCCGTTGAGAGGGTCTAGAAACACGTCGAGAACTGGCAGGGCAGCGTCATCCAAGGCTTGGACATTGTCAAGTACGAAGAGGCTGCGCTCGGGGCAGGAGCCTAACGGAGTGGCCAGAGCAGATCGCAGCCTCTGCTTAATTTCATAGTTGGAGGTTCGCGAGGGTTCGATAAGTGCCTGGAAGTCGACGCTTTGTACTGTGTGTGGGGAGCGAGATATTCCGAAAAGCGAGGAGGCCAAAGCGCCAGTCAGCGAGTGTAGCAGATCGCTGGAATTGGAAAAGAGCACGAGCGCCAGCGGCTGGCGGCGATCGAACTCGTTGGCGACGAAGCGCTCGGTCAACGTTGACAGCGCGGAAGAGGATACACTTGGGCCGAGGCATTTGGGAACACGATACTCGAGACGGGATAGCAGGTCGTCCTGGGAGAAATGAGCGCACTGCTTCCCCAAGGCGGGCGACAGCAGTAGCGCCAGGAGCGGGAGGAGGCAGCAGATCAGGAGCATGTCGTTCGTTTCAAGTCGCACACGCTAACTGCCAGAAAACACAAATCGTACTTAGTTGAAGACGCTCTTCAACAAAAATGAAAGCCGCAATGGGATCGCCACTACTGTACAACTGCAACGGGTGGACACTTCATTTTAGTAAATAACGTCTAGAAACACTTCTATGGTTGATGGTGACCCGTGGGTTGATGTGGGGCGTATTGCACTACACACCCATGCGGCCTTGAGCCTGCACCACCAGGAGAGCACCCTGATGAGCATAGTCGATCAGCTGCTGCTCCAGGTTGGCAAAGGGCAGGTCCTCGAACTTGGTCAAGTTATAGTTGCTCACGACGTTGGGCTCTGCGCCGTAGCATGTCTCAAACTCTTTAAAGAGTGGGCCACTGGGCTGGATGCCGATCTGATACTTCTGCTTGATGTCCTGGTAACTCATCATACGTTGCACAGCCGTCCGGTTCGCTGGAAACACGATTTCCTCGCCATCACCAACAGAAATATCTTGTTCCCACTTGAACGTCTGCAGGTGCGTCCAGTATTTGGGGTCCAGCTTGTCCACCTTGCCATCGAGCTTCTTGGCGTTACGATGTAGGAATAGAACGTTGCCATCGACGTCAAACTGGACCATAGTCATACCGCAAAACTGCTTCTTGTACGTTCCGCGCTCCGTACCGGCAGACGCAGGAGGGAA